TCAAATTAGAATATAAGTCTAAATAAAGAAATGTAATTCTGTGTAATGTAATGAACTTAATGTAAATGAAATGATACTGACAGTATGGAGAGGTGGCAGAGGGATCCACCACAATCACACACCCAAGTTCAACATGTCCCTATTGTTCAGTTCTTTACAATCTTTTCTAGGGGAACCATCATTTTTGTCCAGGCCAGTTTCATTAGTTTTTTTTTTTTTTTTATAATTCTGTTGAACAATTCAAAAACAGTGTCTGGTTATCATTGGTTATTTGTCAGGATTTTTTTATTTATTATTGCTTTTCTTAATTTCGAGTTATTTCAGTGACCATTGTTGATTTTTCTTTCATTACCAGAGGAGTACCAACAATTTTGTCCATGACTGTATCTAGCTTTTGTCTGTTTTTAACAGGCTCCTCGTTGAATGTTTACTTAACACACGGCAGTTAGCCCTTGGAATTCTTACGGACTGCGAAGTAACATGGCTTAAAGCTCACAAGAGTCCATTTAGTGTAATATTGCAACTGACTTGTTCCTTGTTTAGTGAAATTGGATTTCAGCACAATTTCCTTAAAATCTGCAATCGCAAAACAAAGATTTTCATTTCTGTAATTCACGACCATTGAACCTTTATTACAATAAAATGTGTTTAATCAAAATATAAACAATCTTTTTTGTCATAATAATCACTTTTTACATATGGCACATGTTTCAGTTACAAAAGTGGCTCAGAGTTTAATCATTCAGAGTTAACAGAAATACTCCAACTTACAGTGTTGTTTTTAATTTTAAATTTTAAATTTAATTGTAACATATCACATATTTAATTTCATAAGTTTCACTCTCTTTGCTCCCTGTGCTAAGTCACTACCCCATCAGAGCGCGATCACGACATAATCAGCATGCGTCGCGCTGATCAAACAGCTGCACATCACAGCAGGTTTGTCACGTCGCTGTGCACAGTTTAGTTTCAAGTTTTGGCATATTTATGGTGCGTTGTCGTTTGGGAGCATGGGTGATGTAGGCTTGTGGGAGGAGCCTCGTACAGGTTTGTACTGTTAACCATAAGGAGGGTTTGAATAGGGCTCAGGAGAGATCTCTAGATGACTCAGACATGCATGGATGAGTCTAAAACATCTTCAGACGTGTTTATGATGAGGAACAGCATTAGGACATGGGAGAAAGCTACAAAAAAATTGATTTTACAGAATACTCCCTCTTTACACAAAGATCAAATATAAAAACTATTTTAAATTTGTGGAAACTTTACGATCCACTTTCAAATATCTGTCCGGTCATTTCATTTCTCAGATTGTTGGTCTTCTCTTCTGCAGATGTGAAGTTCCAGTCTCTTGTTATCCATAAAGCAACAAAAAAACTGAACTTGATGTTATTGCTTTGTCTGGAATGTGTCACTGTATGGCCAAACCAGACCAGGTTACAGGTCAGATCTGTGGAGAGGCGACCCCGCTCACAGTCACAATGCTTGTTTTTCTAGGTATTTGAGCAGTAAAACCACCTGTAAATGAATAAATGTAAAGTAGAACTGTTTAAAGTCACACTGTGGAACATTCCAGTTCAGAGCAACAGCTGCACAAGCAGGTGATGAACCCCCCAACCAAAAAGTTACAAAATGCACCTTTAAAAGAAAAGTCTGGTTTTGGAGATTATTCTTCATAAACGACAGCTTCGTTACACAGTGAGGACTTTATGTGTAATAGAACCATGTGTTTGCTGTGAACCCAGTTGATACTTAGCAGCTGCAAAGTAGTGCGATGTTAACTGGAGGCACTGCTCTGTCTGAAGCTCTGTCACTCAAGACAGACTTTGTTTTAACGTGATCTGAAAGACCAGAATGAACTGATTTACAATGTGAAAACCTCCAGTAACGTGGTTAAAAGGTGAAAAGTCCATTTAGCCTACCGGAAAGTTACACAATGCAGCTTTAAAAAAAAAAATCGAAAAATGACAAAAGCAAAAGATCCAAATGTGTAAAAACTGTAGATGTGTGGAGACGTCCTCATTCAGTCGGCTGTAGGACCTGTATCTGGGCCTTCCTCTTGGGTCCGGGCAGTTTTATGTTGAGTTCAGTCACTTCTGTCTCATCTTCACTTTCAGAACCAGAACCAGACCCAGAATCCTCAGTCTCCTCCTCTGAGCCGCCGTCCGACCCGTCCAACTCCACCAACGCGACGTCCTGAAGGGGAATGAGGACAGGAAATGTGTGGTTAGCGGGCTAGTTGTTATTAGGATTGATGACAAAACTCCGCTCTGGTCTGTGAGAGCTGGGAAAAGTGCTTCTGAACTCATCGTGGTGAATAATGAGGACGCTGTGAATGCAGAAGGGAAGTGAGAAAGAACTTTGGACCACTGCAAACTGTTTACAATGAACTAGTTCTGTTTTTTTATGTTTTAAAGACAGAAAAATAAAAAAAGGAACCCATATTCCACTTGTTTCTGATCTGTTCTCTTCCCGGAAGACAAAGTACACAGTGGTGAGGTATGTGTGTGACTGCAGTACATTTTGAAGTACAATTTATAAATAAGCAAAACTAGAGTTGTTAAAAATGTTTAAAATACTGTATGACCGTAGTTAAAATGCCGATGAACAAGGTAAAAGGAGCTGTTCGCTTGATGCGGTAGCTTGAAAACTACAGCTTCATGACCTCACAAGGTGGAACAGAGCGTTTTGAGCTTTGAAGATGTAGACAGACTAATAATAAAGAGTTACTCAAACATGTGAATGAAACAAACACAACTCCAGGTGTGTTTTTGAGAAGGGAACAACATTAGAACATGACTTAAAGCTCATAAGATTCACTTTTGTGTGATATTGGACCTGGATTAATATTGGAATATTAATCTTAAAAAAAAAAAAAAGTACAAAAGTTTAGAGATGTATCACCAGGAAAACAGATATCCATGAATTGTTACTTAAAAGTGATGATTGATAATATATTATAAAGCTGTGTGTGTTTGTAATGTGTATGTGTTTTGTTTTCCATCTTATTTCTCTAGAGACATTATCATGTACTTCACTACATACTGAATAAATATCATGTAGATGAAATGTTGTAAAACTGCAGGGGAAGGATTAACTCTAACTCTCAGAAGATTATGATAAAGAAATGAAATAAACATCACAACAAAGTAAAACAGTGTGGTGATTAAAAAGCTGTTTAAAAAGTTTTGAGTTTTGAGAAAATATAATCACAATACAGCTGGACCTGATTTTTACTGATTCAAAACACAGAAAAACAGAACTAGTTTACAGTGTTCCAGAGTTCTTTCTCACTTCCCTTCTGCATTCAGAGCGTCCTCATTACTCACCACCATGAGTTTAGAAGCACTTTTCACAACTCTCACAGACCAGAGAAGAATTTTGCCGTCTACAACCAGGATGCTAACTAGGAATGAACATTTGATTAAATTTTCTTAATCGATCGTCGGGAGAATTAAAGATCGATTATCGATTAATCATTAACATTTTTATATTAAAATGATCATCATTATTATTACTATCTGCCCTCCTAATCTGCATAAATAAATTCAACTTTACGACATATAAACTGTAACCACTCTAGAGCCACATCAATCCGTTTGACATTATAATGTGTTTAATGCAGCACAACTCTCACAGAAACAAACTTAAAACCACATGACTCATTTGCATAAACTAAGCGGAGAAAAAAAAAAACAGCTCTTGTGTTGCTGATGCGGTTCAATTTCTGTCGGACTAAAGGACATGACTCAGGTGAATACAGGTTAGTGTGACCAGATTTGCGTTTGTCAAAGCCAGGACAGCGTACGGGGGGAGGGGGGTGGGGACTCGTCATCCACATTGAGCGACTCTCACCTGGCAAAACTTTTCTCCCCTGGACACCGAAACATATGTGCTGCTTTATACACTGTGCACATGGACTCACACTTGTCCGGAAAGGAAAGTGTGGAATTTCTTGTACAAGTCATCGTTAAATCCACATTTGTGCTTCGGTACGTTGCAGACTGACCGACTGTTTGTGTCTCGCTCCTTCTGATGCAGAGACACATGTACACACCTGTTTGTCCCCGGACACAGACATTTGGTCATCCTACGCTACACACAGCGACCTACATTCGGTTTGTCGATTAAAATGAACGTAATCAATGAAATTCTTAATGATCAATTATCAATTAATCGACTAATCATGCCCATCCCTAATGCTAACACACACTTCTTGATTCTCAGACATTAAACCTCTTTATAATTAGATGCAGACAGAACATGTGGATTGATTTTGACCTCAAGAGCTGCTTAAATAATCTATCTGTACTGGGACAAGATGTGTTGCTCAAATACATGGAAATAAATCAGGTCCAGGGCTTTATGTCTATTATAGACTCTTTCTGATGGGGGTTTTAGTTGTTTTAGCTGCACAATGTACTTTTCTAGATGCAGATGTGTGTGAAAGATTGAAACAGCTGACTCACTGCCAAACTAAATTCACCTGTTGGGACCAATAAAGTAACTTTAAACACAACGAAAAAGTCAAATTTACACGAGGAAATGTATAGTAACTATCTATCACTATTTTTTTTTTACTTTTTTGGAGCGCCTGGATTCTGTTGTGTCTAAAGATTTGATCCTTTTTCCTAGAGCGCCCTCTACCTGTTCTCACTGATTGGAAGACCTGCAGCAAACAGACACATTTTTTTGTTTTCTCACTGTTCATCCTTTCAGGCATCATCTAGTTAATTTTAATACTTTTATTTTGAAATATGTGCTTTTATTTTGATACTCCACACCAGTCCACGGAACCAGACGTTTGAAAAATAAGTGAGAGAGATGAGAAGTTGGTAAAAAGGTGATAAAAATGGACTCATACAGCTAAAAAATCTAATTTAGTGCAACTGCTACAGAAGCAAGGCCTGTATGTATATATTTGAACATTTAATTTAGGGAATTTCATGGGTGTATACATTACTTAAAAACTAAATTGTAAAGTTAAAAAAGACATTATTATAGTTAACAGCCACGTTATTTATATAAATGGTAATTCATGACGTTATTTTGTTTCTATCATGCAGCCTCATATATGCTGGTGATAAAGACAGATGTGTGATAAATTCATTTATTTATTTTCATGTTCAAATAAGCCAAATTTTAATTTGTAGTAAGTGCTTTACTACAAGTTACTGCACTCTCAATATACATGTACTGGAAAGTGAAATTATTAAAACATGGCTGATTGTATTTTTGTATTTTCTCTTGCAGTTTCACTCTGTGTTCATAAGAGGAGCATTAAATGTTAAAACTACTACAGCTGTGTCGTCACTGTCAGAGTTGAGCTCTGTCGAGCTGGTGAGGACAGTACAGTAACAACTGAACCTTTCAAATTGTAATATACTAATAAATACAGTAAATCCGTCACCATCTCGATGACCCTCGGTGCCTCGTCCACGTTCTCAATGTCGAACTGTTCCGCTGACCCCGCCTCCATCTCCCTCTGCAGCTTCTGATTGGCCGCCGCCATCTGAGGCAGGAAGCTCTGCAGACGATCCAGGACTAAAGAGGAAAACATACAACAGACCCATCTGTCAAAGCCTTTGAAATATAACCGTGACGTTGACAAGGTTGACATTATAATGCGTAACTTTTCGGTTGGGGGTCCGTCACCTGCTTGTTTCTATGGAGACGTTACTGCGCTGTCTGGAATGTTCCACAGTGTGACATTAAACAGCTTCACTTTATATTTATTCAATTACACATGGTTTTATAGCTCAGAAATCCCTAGAAAAACAGATATTCTGACTGTGAGCAGGGTTTCCTCTCCACAGATCTGATGTGTAACTTGGTCTGGTTTGGTATCCATGCAGATAAAAAGGTTTAATGCCATATTGTGAAACATTCCAGACAAAGCAATAACATCTCCATGGAGAAAAGCGTCTGACAGATCCTCCAACAGAAAAGTGACCCAATGCAGCTTTACGTTTCTACAGTAAACATTGTTCTCACCGCTGCTCCTCGGGACTCTCTCCGTCTGGGGGCCACTGGGTTTTGGTTTGAGCAGCAACTTCTCACTGAAACCTGGAAACATAACATCAAATCAAATGAGTCTTATTCTATTTTAATATTTATTTTGACCCCAACTACAACAGTACATACACAATCTCTGCTTGAAAGTATTCAAGTACTGTATTTTCCGGGCTATTAGATTGCGCTCTTAAGCCTCCAACCACATCAAAAAACGACTGCGCCCCACAATCCAGAGCCCTATACACGAATCCACTGGGGTGTCCCAGCACGACTTCAGTAAACTACAAAACCACACCACCCACAGAACACACAAACACACACGGAGCAGACAGCAACCGCACAGAGAAACACACCCACAGACACACTCATCACTCCACGCCGACGAGGAACGTGCGATTTGAAACATAAGGGCCAAAGAAACGCAACGGATTCCCCCAAAACATTTTGTGGTTTTGGTACATTCTATTTGAGATTCTTTTTTTTTTTCTTTTTTTTTTGGCGATGAAGCAGCAGGTGGCTTTTCTCTGCACACCTGTTTCATCTGTGCGCTGTGAAAGTTTTTTTTTTTTAAAGCAGGGGAAATTCTCTGTAAAAAAGAAACCGTCTGAGTCCAAATACTGTGGAGACATTGATATTTTTAGATAAAAATGAATAAAATGACCATATATTTCCATCCTTATTGTGGCATAAGCACAGACAGAAAGTAGTAACACGAGCAGAGTCACATTACATCCTGATCTCCAATTTGTTCCAACTTTTTCTTTTAACCCGACCGTTACATCATGAACACAGACTCCAGGTTAATACATTCACACTTTGTATGTTGAAATCACAAACATTCAAATATTTAATCATTCATTTATTCAGTATAAATCTTTCTATCAGAACCTCGATGATCATGTTGATTGTTCTATTTTCACTCTGCCTGTTACATATTTTTTTGGCCTCTTGATGGCGCAGTGGAGCAAATGAAACACCATGAAGCATCGGCTCAAGAGTCGAGCAAATGGATGGAACGCTTCAGTGCTTCATGGGGCTTCATCTCACCATCACTAGAAAATAGACCATTTAATGACATTTATAATCCAGAACGCATAATAGCCTGGAAAATACAGTATTTCTCTTTGTTATAATATTATATTGTGATGTGTGAGCTCCTGTGTCCAAACAATTACCCTTGTAGATCAATAAAGTGTAAGTCTAATTTATTAAAATGTTATTAAATTAAAAGCCTCCTACTATGGTACATATTAAGATTCCTAATTTTGTACACTAATAAATGGACAATGGTTTATGTTTAATAGGCCTCTAACTGCACCTCATCTAAGGCTCACTGTGGCCTTATATTTACTCAATTTCTAGTAGCTCTCTGGCATTTTCCTTTTGTACAGGTAGCTCAGGAGAAAAAAGGTTGGAGACCCTTGTCCTAGACGAAGACAAACAAATAATAGAGTTACTCAAACATGTTTGAATGATGCAAAACACAACACCAGGTCAGTTTTTGACGAGGTACTAAAATTTTAACATGGCAAAAGCTCACAAGAGTCAATTTTCCGTAATATAGGACCTTTACGTTATTTACAACTAAGCAGTGTTGGGAAGTAACAGATTACATGTACCGGAGTTATGTAATCTGAGTACAAATTATGAGTAACTGTATTCAGTTACAGTTACTGTTTCAATGAGTGGTAATTAGATTACAGTTACTTTGTTGAAATAAATGGATTTCACTGCGGTATTTTCCTGTTTTCACATTTTGGGCTAAACCAGGACTAAACCAGGACTAAACCAGGTCTAAACCAGGTCTAAACCAGGACTGAAACCAGGACTGAAACCAGGACTAAAACCAGGACTAAAACCAGGTCTAAACCAGGTCTAAACCAGGACTAAACCAGGACTAAACCAGGACTGAGACCAGGACTAAACCAGGTCTAAACCAGGACTAAACCAAGACGAAACCAGGACTAAACCAGGACTAAACCAGGTCTCAACCAGGTCTGAAACCAGGTCTAAACCAGGTCTAAACCAGGTCTAAACAATATGACACCTAACAGTGTGTAGTTTTAAAAAGCATGACAATATCAAGTAATCCAAAGTATTCAGATTACATTACTCACTTTAAGTAATTTAATGGATTATATTACAAACTACATTTTGGGGTATGTAATCTGTAATCTGTAGGGGAATACATTTTAAAAGTCACCTTCCCAACACTGCAACTAGGAACATTTAAAACAGATTGTGTAAAATAGAGACAATGCAGAAAAAAGCATTGGCTATATTACACGTGTCTACTCGTCATCGTGTAGTCTAGTCATTACGGTTACGTGATCTGTGATTTTTTGCTCTCACTTAAGATACGGACCACACGCTTTACGTCAAATTATAGTTTTTAATTCCGTTCTAGATCGTTTTTATTTACACTGGTCATAGCAGAAAAGACGTAAACCTGACCTCGCTCGTCGCCACAGCTCAGTAAAGCGTCCGAACTCGTTTTTGAGGAGTTTATTTCCATTTTTCTACGATCCCGCAGTGTTTATTTTTTTCACGTGTGTCTTGGGGCGATAAGATCCGGGTAGAAGGTTAAAAGCAAAACTGAACGCGTCATTTTAGCGCGCCCTCTGCTGGACAAGCTGTGGTTAACGTGTAAAGCGCTTCCAAATAACACGAGATAAATTACTTTAACATCTTTATCTTTCATAAATAAGTTATAAAATATGTTAAATTTGACGTTAGATAGGTTTAGGTGGAATATTATGAGCTAGCGCATGCGCAGTGAAACCAAAATACACCTGCGTGTCACTTTTAGATCCTGTGTGCAATAAGATGCCTCACTGTATTTTATTAACAATGCAAATAACGTACGTTTACCTTATTCTTTCCTAATTTATACAAAACGTCATAATTCGTAAGTATAAATTATATTAAGGTGATACAAACCCATAATTATGAGATTAAGTCTATTTTTACAAGCAGTTTAAATTTACCCTGTGATATGTTTTGTTACAGAAACGAGCTTTGGGTTCAGTCTTAGCTTCTATATGTTTGAAGACGTCTTACTCTGATTTAATACCTCCACTATTCACTTACGTTCGCTCTGTTCGGCTATAATTAAGACTTATTTTGATCTGTAGGTTGAAAACACTACAACTGTTATACAGAGTTAGGTCAGCGAGAATAAGATAGATTTACTCAGATGTAGAACGGTAGATCTATATCTATATGTCTACCGCTGTCTATCGATGCATACGCGTCAACGCAGCTGCCATCTTGGTACAGGCAGTGTACGGAAGGTTACTTTTAAAATGTAATCCCCTACAGATTACAGATTACATACCTCAAAATGTAGTTTGTAACGTAGTACATTAAGTTATTTAAAGTGAGTAACATAATCTGAATACTTTGGATTACTTGATTTGCTGTAGAAAAGCAAAAACGAGGAAATCTTCACATAAGAAGTTTTGTCTGATAAAAGAAAATAAAAAGTCCAGACTTTACTGAACCAAATTAAAAATATTATTGATAGAAGAAGAAGAGACACGTCCACGTGACATGGTTTAATCCTGTTAAATCCTGTTTTAGTCCTGGTTTAGATCTGGTTTAGACCTGGTTTAGACCTGGTTTAGATCTAGTTTAGACCTGGTTTTAGTCCTGGTTTAGACCTGGGTTCAGTCCTGGTTCAATCCTGAATTAGTCCTGGTTTAGACTTGGTAAAAAAAAAAAAGAAAAAAAAAAAAAGGGATATAGCCCAAAATATGAAAACAGGAAAATCCCGCCATGTAATCCATTTATTTCAACAAAGTAACTGTAATCCAATTACCACTCACTGAAACAGTAACTGTAACTGAATACAGTTACTCATAATTTGTACTCTGATTATGTAACTCCAGTACATGTAATCTGTTACTCCCCAACACTGGGTACAGGAGTAACACTGCTTTAGACTTAAACTTAGAGCGAGACTTAGACAAACTTAACTGATCCACAAGGAAAATTGTTTGGACACAGGAGCTCACACATCACAATATAATATAATAACAAAGAGAAAAAAATTTTATGAAAATTTTAATTAAATAATAATACATTCTAAATAAGTAGCAAAAAGAGCAAGAAACAGGTCAAATAAGACAATTATATAAATGTAAAAGTGCAAAATAAAATAGAAAATCTCAGCTTTATACAAGAGGTCACAGGAAGACAACCAAACTGGACTAAACCAAACAATGGTTTGGTTTAGTCCTGGTTCAGTCCTGGTTTAGACCTGGTTTAGTCCTGGTTTAGTCCTGGTTTAGTCCTGGTTTAGTCCTGGTTTAGTCCTGGTTTAGTCCTGGTTCAGTCCTGGTTTAGTCCTGGTTCAGTCCTGGTTTAGACCTGGTTTAGTCCTGGTTTAGTCCTGGTTTAGACCTGGTTTAGACCTGGTTTAGTCCTGGTTTAGTCCTGGTTTAGTCCTGGTTTAGTTCAGTCAGTCTGGGTTCAAAACACAACATTTAGTATCATAGGTCTACAAAATCAAATCTTATGAAATGTTCTGTTTTGCTTTTTCTTCTTCTTGTTCCGCTCGTTCGCATGTTCGTATTTGACACAAACGTCCGGCGTCTTTGCTCGCTGATATTATAGTGAGACCAGATTTCCAAAATAAAGAAAAAAACGTGGACGTCCCTGGTTTGGGTTGGTTGGCAATAATAAAACGGTGAATCGAGTCTGTAATTAAGGAAAACTGTTCTGCACTTGACCCATTTATGACGAACATGTGAGTCAGTATAGTCACATTTTCTTTGTGTTTTGGTCGTTTTTTGAATATTTCTTGTATAAAACTGGGACAAATGACTGGTTTTGGATAAATCTGCAGGGACAGGGGACACAGGGCTCAAAACTGGGACTGTCCCGTGCGAAATAGGACGTCGGTTGACCCTCTGATATTGTGAAAATCTTTACTTGCTTTGGGGCCTCGACATTGAGCTACAGTTATATCATGTACAGTGTTGGGGAGTAACAGATTACATGTACTGGAGTTACGTAATCAGAGTACAAATTATGAGTAACTGTATTCAGTTACAGTTACTCTTTCAATGAGTGGTAATTGGATTACAGTTACTTTGCTGAAATAAATGGATTACATGGCGGTATTTTCCTGTTTTTACATTTTGGGCTAAACCAGGACTAAACCAGGACTAAACCAGGTCTAAACCAGGACTAAAGCAGGTCTAAACCAGGACTATACCAGGTCTAAACCAGGTCTAAACCAGGTCTAAACCAAGTCTAAACCAGGACTAAACCAGGTCTAAACCAGGACTAAACCAGGTCTAAACCAGGACTAAACCAGGTCTAAACCAGGTCTAAACCAGTCTAAACCAGGACTAAACCAGGTCTAAACCAGGTCTAAACCAAGTCTAAACCAGGACTAAACCAGGTCTAAACCAGGTCTAAACCAAGTCTAAACCAGGACTAAACCAGGTCTAAACCAGGTCTAAACCAGGACTAAACCAGGACTAAACCAGGTCTAAACCAGGTCTAAACCAGGTCTAAACCAGGTCTAAACCAGTACTAAACCAGGTCTAAACCAGGACTAAAACAGGATTTAACAGGACCATGCTGTGCGGACAGTGTGTCCTCGTCTTCTATCAATAATATTTTCAAATCAGTTAAAGAAAGACTCGGCTTTTCATTTTCTTTTATCAGACAAAACATCTTATGTGAAGATTTCCTCGTCTTTGTTTCTCTACAGCAAATCAAGTAATCCCAAGTATTCAGATTACATTACTCACTTTAAGTAATTTATTGGATTCTGTTACAAACTACATTCTGGGGTATGTAATCTGTAATCTGTAGGGGAATACATTTTAAAAGTCACCTTCCCAACACTGATCATGGTTCACCTTTCGCGGTCTCGCCGTTTCAAGGATTTTGTGTGTGTGTCAATTTTGCATGTTTTTTTTTTTTTTACACACAGGTGGGTTAGGACTAAACCAGGTCTAAACCAGGACTAATCTTGGATTTACGAGGGAGAATGTCCACAAAGCATGATCGGGCAATTGCTACGATTATCTCTGTGAGGTTCAGAGCTCTGAGTCGGTCCTTTCTCCTGCGGTCACCTCCGAGCCCCTCCCGACAGTGAGTCCTGTTTCAGTCCTGGTTTAGTCCTGGTTTAGTCCTTGTTCAGTCCTGGTTTAGTCCTGGTTTAGTCCTGGTTTAGTCCTTATTCAGTCCTTGTTCAGTCCTGGTTTAGTCCTGGTTTAGTCCTTGTTCAGTCCTGGTTTAGTCCTGGTTTTCAGTCCTTGTTCAGTCCTGGTTTAGTCCTGGTTTAGTCCTTGTTCAGTCCTGGTTTAGTCCTGGGTTAGTCCTTGTTCAGTCCTGGTTTAGTCCTCCTCTTCAGTCCTGGAATCAGTCCTAGGTTAGTCCTGGGTTAGTCATGGTTTAATCTGTGGTGTAGGCAGCTCAAAAATTTGATCTGGTTAACGGGCAGGTGTGGTCCTGTACTGGCAGGTGCGGTGTTGTACTGAGGGTCTCCAAAAATGGCCCCGTGCAGAACTCTGTGCTGTCGGCTCCATTATGGAATAAATGAATCAGTTCATTACATAAAGAAGGAGGAAAATAACATAAGGACGACAACAGCAATAAGAAGGATGCTTTTTAGAACGTAACCCCCGTGATAAACGAGGGACACTGTCCTCTCACCTCACAACCTGTGCACATGGCTCCCACTTGTCTCGACTGGGATGGAAAACAGAGAATTTCTTGTACAAGTCATTGTTAAATGCACATTTGTGTTTCTGCATGTTACAGGCTGGTCCACTGTTTGTGTTTGCTCGCTCCTTCTGATGCACAGAGAACTACAAGAAACGCTCAATTTAATGGCCCCAATGAACGATAAAGAAAACCTGGACATTTGCATCATTTAACCCTCTCCAGGCAGGCGTTGCAGATTTGCAACAGCTAAATGCCAATTACCTACTGACTCCACATCCATATTTTATGAGCTTTTTTTACTCAGGAGCCTTTTTTCCCATCCATGCTGATAAACGTGGACGATGCAGACTGTGTAAGAATGACTACACACAAACGACCTGCCAGAAGTACAAAGTACTTTTGTTGTTTACAAAGGATAAAAATTGTTTCTCGTAGCACCACATGTAAAAGTGATGTTGTTCTGCCTCTGTAAAGCTGTTAAACTCTGCTTTATGTTTTCATTGTTATGAAAAGCGTTATACAAATAAAGTTAGTGTTCATATCATTTTCAGTCTTCAGTGTTAATTTACCACCGGACCAATGCTGCAAATCTGCAACATTCCAGAACACACTGGATGTGAAGGTCTCTCAAAAAAAAAGTCAGGATTGTATATTACTACCCCATATGATCATTTTCCCCAAATATCAGATTTTTCCTGATACTAAAAATTAATTTGAGCCTGAGAGGTTTAAAAAACAAAAACAAAACAAAAACGGACGCCCAGGACAGGACGCAAAATACGGACATTTTTGGTCACCCTAGCCCAGTACCAAGATGGCGGCGCTATTAACGCAGGTCAAGAGGCCGACCGTGAGCTCTACAGTTCTATATGACATGTACAGGAGGTTTGTGTGTGCGGAGTGACACGTTTTCTCGCAGAGTTGAGCTTTGGGCTAAGTTTTGTTGCTGCTGCTGCTGCTGTCAGGAAACACGTCTAGCATCTCTCTCAGTGGACATTTAACAGGTAAACACAGCAAATATTATTAAAATACCACGTTTTATTTACTCGTATACTTCTCTGGCATGATAACACCTGCTATACATTTTTATTTTGTATTTAATATTGCTGTAAAAAGCTGCGATTTGTAAGGAGACGTGTTACTACTGTTTCCAGAGCTAGCTTATAGCCACGATCTGCTCCAGCTTACGTATTATTACAATCTGACCAACAAGCATTTTGTTTGATCAAAGTAAGAATAAAGCTGTCATCTGTTTTAAAAGTACAGATGGAAATTGTGAGCATAAAGTGTGGTTTGTGTGAATTCTGTAGCATGACACTATTTAAAATTCTAAATTGTAAATACGTACTTTATAAACTCGAGTCTGGTCACATTGTTTTGGAATGAGACACAAATGGTTCTCACAAAATAAACGATCGCTTGTTTTTATCCTTTTATTACTTTTATTTGGTAGATACAAGGTTATAATATTAGTGATAAGTCTGTACAATATGTTCCAGATGTGGTCAAAGATCTGATTTCAGGTTTAATAAAATAACACTACAGGAAAAACGAATTTATGATGCAAAAGTGACTCTGATGAGCTTTACGTCATGTTCTAATGTTGTTCCCTCCTCAAACACACACCTGCACTTCTGTTTTGTTTCATTCACATGTTTGAGTAACTCTTTATTATGAGTCTGTCTACATCTCCAAAGCTCAGCATGCTCAGTTCCACCTTGTGATGTCATGAAGTGGTAGTATTCAAGTGAACAGCTCCTTTTACTTTTTTTACTAGAGCTGAAATAGTCTAAATGATTCCAGTGCGGCTATATTTATTTTTATTTGATTATAATACATATATAGATGAACATTACTGATCCACAAAGGAAATAAAATTATTTGGACACATCAACTCACACATCACAAAAATGATCATAATAATTAAAGTAAAACATATATGATATGAAACCGATAAAATGGGAGTTGTAGCTGCCAATAGCCGATATAATCGCCGATATATTTAGTGATGTAAAAATTCACTGTAAATGTTGAATTGTTTAAAAAACTTAGGTTTGGCTGTAGTACATTTTAAATTGGGTTTATTTAGGCAACATTTATTGTTATTCTGCCTCTTTACGTCATATTTACAGACAGTAGGTCAGACTAATGGCATTTTTGTTTCACATTCTAGCAGTTAGTGATGGGGATTCCAGTTCTTTTTAGAGAACCGGCTCTTTTGGCTCGGCTCACTAAAAGTAGCTGGCTCTTTCGGCTCCCAAGCGGCTCTTCAGATTGTTTTGTTGCAAGCAGGACTAAACCAGAACTGAACCAGGACTGAGTGTTGGGACTTGGTCTCTATCTCTCTCCCTCTCTCGAGCCCAAGATTAGTCCTGGTTTATTTTATGCTGAATTACAGCCAAACATGCACGTTTTTTCTCTCCTATGCACATGCAGATTTCTGAAAGTTTCGTTTTGAGCCGCTGCCGCTGTCAAACTCCCACGAGTCTGCACATGACGTAAAGAGAAAAAAAGTGAGAGAAAGAGAAAACACGGCTCCCAATAAGGAGCCGGCTCCCGTCGTTTGCTTCAAAGAGCCGGTTCTAAGAGCCGCTTTGTTCACGACCGACTCATCACTACTAGCTACTAAAGAAACTACCACTGTTAGCCTTTAGCCGTAAATGCTGCGCTCTGCGGTAATTAATTATATGTATAAATGTGGATCATTCACACGTCTATTCACAGATCATTTACATATCAGTGCAGGTCCAGTAACAAATATACGACCAATGTAGTCACTTTACAATAGACCAACAGAAAACAGCCTGTTTATGTTTGCGAGACACAGCAGCTAATCACTAACCAATGAGAAAGAACCAAAACTAGCTCAGATTCGACATATTTCCAACACTCAGCCTCACACAGGCTCCTCCCACATCACAAGTCTGCACTAATAAATGTCCTTTTAATCCAGACTCAAACCGATTGTCCGTAAAAAGAAAATAATCTCAATGTTTGGATCTGTGTCTGCAGGTGTAAACAAACACACGTGAGTGACGCGACTCTGTGGTGTGTTCAGGGACAGTACGACACACAGTCAAATGACTCCGTAGATAAATACTGATGTGGAGCCACATATTAGAACATTTATCTGTCTGTAAATTGGATTAAATGAACAGAATATAGAGAGTCTAAGCTTTATAACGAGGTATAACATGCCCACGTGAAATATTGGCCAATATCAGCAAACATATGGTCGATAATATCACCAACCGATATATCGGTCAGGCTCTAATGGTAATCATAAATTCTAAATAAAATAAGAAGGCAAGAAACTGGTGTCAAATAAGGCACAAGTCTATAAATGTATATGATTTTATATCTATACAAAATAATACAAAATAAACACATAAAGCAAACATTCATGTTCATAACAGATAAAAAAAAAAAAAAAAAACATAGAAAGATTAAAATAAAATAAAATAAAGCATCAGTGATTGCTATGTGTGAGGGGAGCTCTTTTTAAATATTGGTTATTGATAAAGCTTTTTTGTAGGATAAATGGTGAATGGATTAAAAGTTTATATACTTTTATTTCAGTTAACAGTTGGCTTTAATTCTGAATAAAAATCATTTAATTCTGAATAAATATTCATTCTGTTTTAAAAGACCATGTAAACACTTTATTCCTAATGAAAATGATTATTCAGAGTTAAACTTACTTCTAAAGTAAGTGTTTGGTTTATTCTGATTTTAAAGCTGAATAAATTTCTTCCTGGATCAGATAAATGTTTATTCTCCTTAAAAATAATAGTGGTTGTTCCTGCTCGTTGCGTCGCCTTTCTGACGTGATCCGGCTCCACCAGTCCTGGCTTTGGACTTTCATCCACATCTCTTTGGATCTGCGAGTGGGATGCGGGAGTGGGCTGAGGTAGAGCTTCTTTAAAATGTCAGCAGTGTGGAAATAATTTAGTGCGACTCACACGAGGACTGTAGAACTGTGCCTGCTGAAGTGAGATTACTGTGGGTTCTATGTTTCGCACTCACACCTGCACAACAGAAATGGGCCACTGCTGATGACGTCATCACATGGAGCTGTTTGTTTGCATGTTGCACAGTAGTGCTGTCACTTTAGTGGAGAATATAAGTCCAGTGGGAGAACATCTATTAAATAGTGAGGCAGATGTGCGTCCTTTTATGATCCGTGCCCTGCTTGAGTTTATAGAGATAAAAACAGCACAGAGCATTGATGAGAGCCAGAGACGAGATGCAGCTAAACTTCTGTCTCAGTTCTTATTGCCCGGTGTTCTGTGGAGGAGGAGGTGCCTCGTTTCCTGATTTCACTGTCCTCCCTGATCCAGAGTTTGAACTTGTTGTTCTCTGATCCAATGACCTGAGCCCCGCCCCAATCCAGGATGTGTTTATTTCTTTTACAGTGTCTGATATGGTGGATTTGAGGTTCTGCTTTGTCTTTTTGTGTTCTGATGAGTCTTCCTTTCACAATCCTTTTGGCGTTCCTTATTTCGGATGTGGAATGCCCAGCCCGTTTCCTCTATGTATGATTTTTTGCATGATTTGCGTTGGATTTTGTAGATGGTGTTGCATTTTTGTTCTTGTGGGATGTTGTCTTTGGGTTGTCCCGGCTGTTGGTGGAGTTTTGTGTATGGTTTTACTACAGTGCTTATGTTGTGTCTTTTCATGGCTCTCTGGATGGGTTCAGTTCAGTCTGAGCAACCTGCCAGGTCCAGCAGTCTGACCACACTCACAGGAACTAACAATATAGATATATGTTCAAGAAATGTCACATGTCACCACCAACACTGGTGACTGTTGTGAAGAATACTGGCACCTCTTGTTTGTACTTGGAGCAGAACTGCTCCCGCCAACAGCTCCAGCAGTTACCTGTCACATGTTTAGTATTTAAATGGTGTCGTGGGGTTGAGGAGCTTCTGTGAGATGAAACTCTTCTCTGAACAGTTTGCAATAAATAACACCAATTTGTCAGTGCTTCTATTGGGTCATTTTTTGAACAGAAATGTAGCGTCCAGCAGACCCAAAGCACTTTCATGCTCCGTTATTGTAGTCGCTGTGGGTCAGTATAACTGATTGGTATATTTATTCTAATTTGGTGTTTGGGTTCCAGATGATTCTCCAATCAGAAAGCAGAATGAGCCTCACATGACTCTCTCATTTGGGTTGCTGGTTCAAAGCTGAAAGTGGGTTAAAACCTAAAATGCCTCTCTCTGATCTGAACGGTCACTAAAGCCCAGCACCTGCACCAGTCATGAGTCAGTGCTAGTGCAGCCTCTGCAGCTCAGGGACAATCAGTGAGAATGTGAGAATTATCAGATCCTGCTATTCGCACTTTAAGCCTCTTTGCTCGTTCAACTCCACCGTTTTTAGAGAAAGCACCTGAAGGTCAAAGTTCAGAGTCGACGTGGAATTAAACAGAACTTTCTCTGAATAAACACGTGAAAACACACACCACACACACACCACACACACACACACACACACACACACGCACACACACACACACACACGCACGCACACACACACACACACACACACACACACACATACACACACACACCCACACACACGAGAGCGCTGCACAAATGATTATGCAACACTATTTTCATGACATCATCACGCGGTTTAGACACGCCCTCTCATTCAGTGTTTTTATTATTTTTACCTTTTTAACCACTACACTACTTTTATACCACTCTGTACATTTTAGATACACACAGAAGACATCAAATATATGAAGTAGGATAGACACTATGTAAAGGTGTAGCACAGCAAAGAGTGGCTAATTTGAGGATTTGAGTATAAAATCTATTTGAAAAAAGAAAATTGTACTGATTTAACGTTTCTTTGCTGCACAATTCCATTCATGAGCCTTGTCAGGTTCTGATGTTCCTCATAAGAGGGAAACAGTGTATGAGGAACATCAGAGCAAACTGTGTGTGTGTGTGTGTAACCCTAGCGTGCTTTAGCCCACCTCGAGTTTAAGCACAACCCCTAGTGTCATATCAGGATTTTCAACCAGGAAATACAATTTTAAACAGGCAAAAACTAAATTTTCTTTGTAGTAAAATGTTAAATATAATAGCCGTGTTTTAGTCAAATGTATAGTTCAAGGCATTTTCAGTATCAGCATATATTTAAACATTTTCACAACTAGTTTTCTTAAGCTATAGATATTACTTCAAAATGTACTGCAGTTACAGGTCTACTTTACTATCATTTAAAATTCTAAATTGTAAATGCGTACTTGATAAATTCTAGTCTGGTCACATTGTTTTAGAACGGGACAGTTCTCACAAAAAAAATGATGGCTTATTTTCTTGCTTGTATTACTTTTATTTGGCAGATAAGAGGTTATAATATTAATGACAATTCTGTAGAATATGTTCCAGATGTGGCCAAAGATCTGACTTCAGGTTTAATAAAGTAACACTAGAGGGAAGAACAATTTAAAAGGCCCGTCTCATGTAAAATCACTCTTTTCACGTTGTATCTTCTGCACATAAAGTCCGACTATTGCTCCTCCCCCCGCCCGTCCTGAGAAAGCACAGGCTCCGCCCTCCAAACGTGACGCTGCCCTTCCTCCGTCCATCTCAGGGAGGGAGGGGGAGACAGGTGTGACCCTGATAGTGGTAGAATAAACTTTTATTCATCATGGAGATACAGCGCGTTCAGCCGCATGTGTTGGACCCGGAATCGGACGAGGACTTTGAGGAGCACGAAGCTCAAGCACCACGTCCACATCAACTGAACATTACTGATTGGTAAAATATTAATAAACACTAGTAGATCAACTTATTATATCGTGGACACTGCAGGCGGGGTGGAGGTGGTGGAGGTGGTGGAGGTGGAGGAGGTGGTGGAGGTGGAGGAGGTGGTGGAGGTGGTGGAGGTGGGGAGGTGGTGGAGTGGTGGTGGAGGTGGAGGAGTGGTGGAGGTGGTGGAGGTGGTGGAGGTGGTGGAGGTGGAGGAGGTGGTGGAGGTGGTGGAGGTGGAGGAGGTGGTGGAGGTGGTGGAGGGAGGAGGTGGTGGAGGTGTGGAGTGGGTGGAGGAGGTGGTGGAGGTGGTGGAGTGGGGGAGGGGGTCGGCTGTGAAGTATTTTCTGCTACATCAAATGCGTCATAAGTGTATCTGCCGCGTCATCGTTGCAGCAGCTTTATTTCGTTGTCACGTGGAGGGTGGCAGAAATACACTGCAATTTGTTAAAAAACAGCGAATCAATCTAAAAACCACTTGGCGACAAATCCAAGGCCCACACATCACTCTGAGAAGGTAGAAAGCTCTGAAAAGTTGATTTTGCATGAGACGGGCCCTTTAAAGTTTCTATATTACACAAAACGGACTCTTATGAGCTTTAAGTCATGCACTAATGTTGTTCCCTCCTCAAAAACACACCTGGAGTTGTGTTTGTTTCATTCACATGTTTGAGTAACTCTTTATTATGAGTCTGTCTACATCTTCAAAGCTCAAAACATTCTGTTCCACCTTGTGATGTCATGAAGCTGTAGTTTTAACAGCTCCTTTTACCTTTTGTTCACTGGCACTTTAACTATGGCCATACAGTATTGTAAACAGTGTAGTTTTGTTTATTTATAAATTGTACTTCAAAATGTACTGCAGTCACACATGTACCTCACCCCTGTGTACTTTGTCTTTCAGATACAGCCCTGTTTTTGTCTCAGAGTTTAAAATGGCCGTGACCCTCGGGAGCAGCTGATTCACCGGGATCTGCCCTGAGCGCAGGAGATGAGACAGACGCACCATGAGCATCCGGAGCATAGGGGGCGCTCTTGGGGAGTCTGTGGGCTCTAGTCTGTCTGTGCGCATGAGCAGCTGGAGCAGGCCTGTGTCCTCTGGGAGACTCTCCTCTCTGCTGCAAAACATGGTCCCCACAGGTACGGATTAGTGTGGTATCTGTATTTATAAGGATTGGGGCACTTATTGGGGGTGTTGTACATGTATCTCTATAGTGAAATGTTCAGCAGTTACCATGGCATACAGAAACATTAGCAAACAGTCCAAAAATTGTGTAACTTTTCTGGTGGAGGGTCTGTCAAACACTTTTCTCCATGGAGGTATCATTGCTTTGTCTGGAATGTTTCACAATATGGCATTAAACCTTTTTATCTTCATGGAGACTAAACACATCAGATCTGTGGAGAGGAGACCCCGCTTACAGTCATAATGCCTGTTTTTCTAGGTATTTTTGAGCTATGAAACCACCTGTAATCAGTGGTGGAGCGTGCATTTCACACCGAGGCCTTCAGTAGTGCTCCGTCTGAAACAATCCACTCCTCAAGAACTATTTTATGGTTATAAAAGCATCTTATTCTACAGAAACACAGTATAAAGAGCCATGGAGATTCTGTGCACAGAGAAGTGAGGAGAGGGGGGTGCACGGTGCATGGAGAAGAAGAGGAGCACTGGGGTGCTAAACCAGGACTAAACCAGAACTAAGCCAGAAATAAACCAGGACTAAACCAGAACTAAACCAGAAATAAACCAGGACTAAACCAGAACTAAGCCAGAAATAAACCAGGACTAAACCAGAACTAAACCAGAAATAAACCAGGACTAAACCAGAACTAAACCAGAAATAAACCAGGACTGTTTGTGGTGACTGGCCCTCAGGTGCGCCCATGTGGACTGTCCACAGACAAAAGGACCGTGCCTGGACCAGGACTCTGCCGCGCTGCACGGGGCTCAGTGCAGCTGTCACCCGATCGAGCTTTGCAGACACTCTCTCACTCTCTCTCTCGCACTCTCTTGCTCTCTCTCAAGTCCAAGATTAGTCCTGGTTTAGACCTGGTTTAGACCTGATTTAGACCTGGTTTAGACCTGGTTTAGACCTGATTTAGTCCTGGTTTAGACCTGATTTAGACCTGATTTAGTCCTGGTTTAGTCCTGGTTTAGACCTGATTTAGACCTGATTTAGTCCTGGTTTAGACCTGATTTAGACCTGATTTAGTCCTGGTTTAGTCCTGGTTTAGACCTGATTTAGTCCTGGTTTAGACCTGATTTAGTCCTGGTTTAGACCTGATTTAGACCTGATTTAGTCCTGGTCTAAATCAGAATCTCAAAATCTGATTGTTTGAAGCAACAGTTTCATGGACATTTCTTTTGTGTTGGAGTTCCTGCAGACCGGATTGTGAAGGCCTCAGGGACACTTCTTTGACTTTGACTCTGCCTAGAAACAAGTGACGGCTGAAATGTGATTGGTTAAATGCTTTAATATGAAAATCCATGTGTGGAAGTAGCACAAGCATCAGAAAAACTCTGAAAGGAAGAGGACAGACCATTTGAAATGATTTAATAATTATATAATTAACATCAGTGTGATTCAGAGATTTTTTTAGGCCAGCAGAGAAGAACTTGCAGGCCCTGACGCCCCGCCACTACCTGTAATTGAATAAATGTAAAGTCAAGCTGTTTAATGTCACACTGTGGAATATTCCAGGCAGAGTGATGACATATCCATAGAAACAAGAAATAAAGGACTTTAAAGGACCCATGTTCCGCTATTTTCTGATCTCTGTTCTAATCTAGTTTCCTCATCACACACAGACCTGGTGTTGTGTTTTGTTTCATTCACACATGTTTAACACACAATCCTGCACATTTAGGTGGAATTCTTCTCTCAAACAGAAAACACTCTTCCACTTTTTGATGTCATATGGTAATACAGGAAGTGCTCCACTGTGTTTTTAAACTCCGCACACCTTCTCTAGAATCATTTAGATCATTGCAGTCCTGGAATTGTCAATCTCTATGGAACAAAAAGTAAAACCACACGGTGGAACAGAGCGTTGTAGACAGACTGATAATGAAGTGTAGTCAAACATGTGAATGAAACAAAATACAACACCACATCTGTTTTTGAGGAGGGAACAACATTAGAACATGACTTAAAGCTCACAGGAGTCCATTTTGTGTGATATTGGACCTTTAATGCTAAACCCATCTTCTCCTCGGGCAGGTTACACCAAGCTTCTGCAGGAGGACCGTCTGGCCATGGTGGACCTCGGAGCCAAACCAGACTCGTCCCTGATCCAGAACGGTTTCAGGCAGGAGACCACGCACCTGGAGGGCAGAAGGATCACAGAGCGCGCCTCCCGTTCCTCTCTGAGCTTATCCGACTGTGGAGATGTGTCATACTCGGAGACGGACCCCATGCTGTCTGAGCGGAGACTGTCTGGAGAGGAGGACGAGGCCGAGGAGCAGACCGAGGAGCAGGCAGGAGGAGGAGGAGGGGGCCTGGGGTCGGCTCTGCCCAAAGAGTCCCCTCTGGCCATGGCTCTTCAGATCCTGGTGCCATTTCTGTTGGCCGGGTTTGGCACCGTGTCTGCTGGGATGGTCCTGGACATCGTACAGGTGAGACATGCACTAGAGATACCTGTAAAGAGCCACACAAAACTGTCACATTTGGGTTTATACTGGTCACAGAGTCTTTTTTTAGTTAAAGTTGCACTGTGTAACTTTTCGTAACTGCGTAACTCTTCATAACTATGGTGGAGGGTGTGTCAAATGCTTTTCTCTACGGAGATTTTATTGCTTTGTCTGGAATGTTTCACAGTTTGGCGTTAAACCTATGGCATACTGACTGTGAGTGGGGTCGCCTCTCCACAGATCTGACCTGTAACTAGGTCTGGTTTGGTCTCCGTGAACATAGAACAGTGTAATTCCATACTGTGGAACATTCCAGACAAAACAGTAACATCTCTGTGGGGAAAAGCATTAAGTTAAGTTTAAAGGTGCACTGTGTAACTTGTCTGATGGAGGGTCTGTCACATACTTCATGGAGATGTGCCCTGGGTGTATGGCCATAAACTTGTGAATCTCTATGGAGACGTGCAAACCAAATTAGTTAGATCTGTGGAGAGGCGACCACACTCACAGTAAGAATGGAGGTGTTTTTTTGTTTTGTTTTGTAAGATGAGCCCTTAAACACCTGTAGACAGATTAGTTGAATACCAAAGTGTGGACAATTTAAACCAAAGCATTTACATCCCTCTCTAGAAAAGTTACGCATTGCACCTTTAAGTTCGAGTTGACTGTTGTGTTGCAGCACTGGGAGGCGTTCCAGTACATCACAGAGATCTTCATCCTGGTCCCGGCTCTGCTCGGTCTCAAAGGGAACCTGGAGATGACACTGGCCTCCAGACTGTCCACAGCAGTGAGTTCAGAACAACAAGAGCCAATATCAGAGTTCACACATGTCACACAGGGCGGGACGATATGGGGAAAAAACAATCATGTTTTTTTCTTTATGTTGATTTGCTCTTCTTCCATCTTATTAAAAACACACACGTGTGGACTTGAGACATAAAGAGCAGGGTGTCAGCTCACTACACTTTGTATTTCTGTTGATAGGACTGAAAATTATGTACAAATTCACATTTAAAGTTTAGAATGAGTTTGTACAATAAATTAAACCTAAAGTACACACATGTGTTACTGTTGGTGACAGAAACACGTGTGACGTCCGTGCGCAAAATGAGGTCCTAAGTTTCACTCATAAACAGTGAGAAAACAGTTGTTTACTTTCCATAACTTGGATTATAAAGATGAAAGCACCAGACAGAGAAAGAGGAGAAAAGACGAAGAGCAGAGAGATGGAGGGAGAGTGGGGCAGACTAACACACACACACACACACAGCACACACACACACACACACACGCACAGACACACACACACACACACACGCACCCCCCACACACACGCACAGACACTTACACAGACAGACGCACACACGGAGACAGAGAGAAGAAGATTGGACTTTTAGTCAAAGTTATGAACACGTGCGGAGTTGTTTCCTAAACAAGAGTGTAAATCCTCGTCAGCTCCACACTCTCATACTGCCACATGATTGGCTGTTGATATGTCGATTAAAATGCACTTGCCTTATCATCGAGATCGACCAAAGTAGAGATCACATCCATTGATCTTTTGATTTCCGGCACATGGAAAACACATGGAACATTATTTCACTCACTTCTCCTTTCTGCTGTTGTCTCGTAGAATCCTGATCATTTAAATAAAAAGATTAGTTTGACTAGTACACACTCAGAGTCAGATCGATCGAATATACCAACAGTTTGGATCATGTTGAGTAAAGTTTGAGCAGCAGAACTTTGAATCATAAATAATAAATCGTGTATCTGTCAGAGCCTGGGGGAAGGTTACACCAGCTCTGTGGTGAAATGTAAAACTGCAGCTGCGTCTGGCCACAGTCACGCCAAGAATGAAGCTGAAGAGGAGAGACCGTTAAAGGGTCCATACTACACTATACTCTGGTCTGTGTTCTAATGTCGTTTCCTCATCACAAACACACCTGGAGTTGTGTTTGGTTTCATTCACATGTTTAACACACAAACCCTGCACATTTAGGCTGACTTCTTCTCTCGAACTCAAAACACTCTGTTCCACCTTGTGATGTCATGTGGTAATACAGGAAGTCCACTGTGTTTTTAAACTCCACACACCTTCACTAGAATCAGTTGGATCATTTCAGCCCTAAAATTATTTTAAGGAAACTGAACGTAAAAGGAGCTGTTCACTTGAAAACTCTCACTTCATGACATCACAAGGTGGAACAGAACATTTTAAGCTTTGGAGATGTAGACAGACTAATAATAAAGAGTTACTCAAACATGTGTGAATCAAACAAAACACAGCTCCAGGTTTGTTTTTGAGGAGGGAACAACATTAGTACATGCCTTAAATCTCACAAGAGTCACTTTTGTGTGATATAGGAACTTTGAATATATGAGGTTCTGACTTGGTTTGGTGGGATAGAACCAGGACTAAACCAGGACTGAACCAGGACTAAACCAGGACTAAACCAGGACTGAATCAGGACTAAACCAGGACTGAACCAGGACTGAACCAGGAATAAACCAAGACTGAACCAGGACTAAACCAGGACTGAACCCAGACTAAACCAGGACTAAACCAAGACTGAACTAGGACTGAACCAGGACTAAACCTGGACTAAACCTGGACTAAACCAGGACTAAACCAAGACTGAACCAGGACTGAACCAGGACTGAACCAGGACTGAACCAGGACTAAACCAGGACTAAACCAGGACTGAACCAGGACTGAACCAGGACTGAACCAGGACTAAACCAGGACTAAACCAGGACTAAACCAGGACTGAACCAGGACTGAACCAGGACTAAACCAGGACTGAACCAGGACTAAACCAGGACTAAACCAGGACTAAACCAGGACTAAACCAGGACTAAACCAGGACTGAACCAGGACTGAACCAGGACTGAACCAGGACTAAACCAGGACTCCATCTACTTTCACAGGTCTCACAGTGACCTGACTGTTCACACATGAGTCTCCCACAGATACAACAACACAGAGCTCAAATATCCAGGGAGAGGCTCTGTACTGAACTACATGAGATTTTGATCTGTCCTGTTTTAATTCAACCTTTTGTATATGTAATAGAGAAATAATAATTTAAAAAAAAAAACATGTAAGTAGATAAAATATCTTAAAAACAGAAAAAATGGGACTAGTTTATTGTCAACAGTTTGCAGTGGTCCAAAGTTCTCCCTCACGTATCTTATTCATTCAGAGATTCCTCATTATTCACCACAATTGAGTTTAGAAGCACTTTTCACAACTCTCAGAGAACAGAGCAGAGTTTTATTCTCACCCTGATTCTTGAGCAATAAAACGCTGTGTAAGTAAATGCAGACAGTACACAGAGGACTTCTTGTACGACATGTCTGGAGAAAGAAACGTTTTGTTGAATTACACGGGGAAAAATTGGGTACACTGCTCATTTTGGTGTGTTTACAGTTCTGTCTTATTTGTCTGAGCTTAGTTCTAAACCTAAACTTTAAGTAATACATTCTGCTTTGAAAAATAAAGCGTTTCTTGTGTGTTTTCAGGTGAATGTGGGAAAGATGGACTCCCCCATAGAGAAGTGGAACCTGATCATTGGGAACCTGGCTCTGAAGCAGGTAACACACAAGACATCTGCTTCAAACCCAAAGACGTTCATTTTGTCTTCTTATGTTCACTAACTTTTTGGGTTCTTTTTAAAGACAATACAGTAGGAGGTGTGTTTACCTTGTGGGCATGTTTCGGCTGCTGCTTTCATCTTCAGAAGTGTCCCTGGTGTTGGGGGTGATGTGCCGTATGTCAGCTCTTGAAACTTACTGTGGGCGTTGCTGACATGTCACTTACCGTATTTTCCGGGCTGTTAGACGCGCTCATAAGCCTCTAACCCCATCAAAAAACGACTGTGCCCTGCAATCCAGAGTGCCCTCTACATGTATCCACTCAGGTGTCCCAGCACGACTAAACTACAAAGCCGCACCACCCACAGAACACACAAACACACACGGAGTAGACAGCGACCGCGCAGCGACAAAAACACCCTCACACACTCATCACTCCACGCCGACGAGGAACGGAACGGAGGAACAAACCGAAAAAGCGAGTGCAATGTGCCACTTCTAGACACGACTGAACAACTGAGTCACTGAACACGCCGACAATCCGTTGGTCCCAAACAGCACCCTCCCTACACGCCACAACTGAACAAAGCCCAGAGTCACCGTGAACGCCACAAACAAACAAAACCACTCACCCATCACACTGTTGGGTTTCCTTTAAAATCCAGTGCGGTTTATTTGTGAAAAAAGTTTGAAAATAGACCATTTAATGACAGTGCGTTTTATAATCCAGAGCGACTAATAGTGCAGAAAATACGGTAGACTGACCATGCCTTCTGTGGGCTGGTGCTCTCTGGAGGAGGAGTCCCAGGTGGAGGAGGAACACATGGGCCATTGTATCAGAGAACAACAAATTCTTTTTTTTTAATCACTTTGTTTTTATTGGATTTGAAAAAAAGAACAGATATATATTGTGCTGGTGAATAGTGTCTTGTGAGAAGTTGTATAGATAGACCAGTTCAGGTGACAAAGGGACAGAATATTCCAGCACCTGCCCAAGTACATCACAAACCATTTCTCAAATTACAGTAATATTTGAACATTTCCAAAATGGACAACAGCAAATTGAAACGCTGGATCAGGGAGGCCCTTGAAATTAGGAAACGAGGCAACGGCACCATCAACCGAGATGATGGAGCGTTCCTCCTTTCACACCTGGGACAGCCTCCTCCAGAGAACACCTGGCGACAGGAGGCGTGGTCAGTCTGATCGACCTGCCAACCACGCCCACAGGAAGTAACAACAGCTGACATACTAACACCAGGGACACTTCTGAAGATGAAAGCAGCAGCAGGCAAAACATGTCAGCAAGGTAAACACACTTCCTACTGTACTGTATTTTTTTATTTTTATTTTTTTTATTGCAGATTTTTAGATACAAACAAAGCAGCACCATATGAAAGTACACAGTTCACATGAAAATATAATAAATGCAGAAAAACAGAACAGTGAATAAAAACATATGCACATATAAAAAGGGCAATTTCAAAGCTCTAATTTAAAGGAATAAATTAAAATCGTTCAAAAAGGACATAAGAAAACCAGCCAGTGCTGGTTTAATCAAAAATAAATAAATCTATAAATAATTGATACCAAATTCCATTATTTTTTCTTCTATTAATACACCAAATGTATTTATTTATTTATTATTATGATTAGAGAGGCAAACTGAATTCTCCTGGACTGAAGCCAAGACTGAATATCAAACAAACTGAACTGCACAAACTCACACAAAAAGAAAAGATGTTCCAAGTCGTAAACCCTTGGGTCACAAAACACACATTTATCTGTCTTAAATTAGAATTTTTGCTTTAGGAATTCATTGGTTGGATACATTTTATTTTTAAAAATGGAAATTGTGTCTCCTTCGCTTTAGGGGGAACTGGAAAGGAAAGATACTTACCGTAGTTCTAATCATTTTCATTTCTTTCTTTTCAAAATTTTTTTCTCTTTTACTGACCTGAAGAAGCAATCATTTAGTAAGGAACATCTCAAAACTGTATTACTGCACCTCTTACTGTATTGTCTTTAAAAAAAGAACCCAAGAAGTTAACATCTGCTTCAAGAGGAGGCATTTGACTTCAACAGGGTATTAACTGTAACACATAACCTATTTAGCTCACCGTGCTAAGTAACTCCCCCTTCAGAGCGCCAAATTTGTCAAGTTGCTGTGTACAGTTTTGTATCATGTTTTTTGTGTATTTATGGAGAATTATTGTGGGGGAGCATGGGTAACGTAGGCTTGTGGGTGGAGCTAAACATAAGAAGGGTTTGAATAGGGCCCTGGGAGAGATCGCTAGATTAGTTAAACATTCATAGATGACCCTAAAACTTCCTCAGACATGGTTTTGATGAGGGAATAGTGTTAGAACACGGGGCAGTTTTTGCAAAATACGCCCGAAAAGACAGTTTTGCATTTGGCTCTCCTTTAATGAATGCTAAATAAGTTTAAGGCCATGCAGTTACGTACATATCAAGCAAATCTGAACTTACTCTGCCAAACTGGTGTCAGTTTAAAAATTGGTAATACAAAAAATGTGTAACATCAGAATTGTAAAGACACGCAACAGTCCTTTGCCTGGGATCTTGAATACTAAGGGGGGCTAAGTTTTAGAAATGATGTGCTTTGTTTGCAGAAAATTTTTAATGGAGGGGAGACAAAAAATGCTAATTGACTCAAATACACTGAAATAAACAAATCTGACTGGATGATCGTGTTTGGTTCTGACTCAAAATGGAGGGAATGGAGACCAGACGGAGCCCAGAGATACACAGAGATACAGCGAGAGAGATCAGGATTACTGGTAGATTAGATTAGAGTTAATATTATTTGAACATTTAAAAAAAAAAAAAGGTATGAAGGCACACAGTGTCGGGAAGGTGACTTTTCAAATGTATTCCCCTACAGATTACAGATTACATACCCCAAAATGTAGTTTGTAACGTAATCCATTAAATTACTTAAAGTGAGTAACGTAATCTGATTACTTTGGATTACTTGATTTTTTGTAGAGAAGCAAAGACGAGGAAATCTTCACAAAAGATGTTTTGTCTGCTAAAAGACAATAAAAAAGCCCAGACTTTACTGAACCGTATTAAAAATATTATTGATAGAAGAGGAGGAGACATGGTCATGATTTAGTCCTGTTAAATCCTGTTTTAGACCTGGTTTAGACCTGGTTTAGACCTGGTTTAGTCCTAGTTTAGACCTAGTTTAGACCTGGTTTTAGACCTGTTTTAGACCTGGCTTTAGACCTGGTTTAGTCCTGGTTTTAGTCCTGGTTTTAGTCCTGGTTTTAGTCCTGGTTTTAGTCCTGGTTTAGTCCTGGTTTAGTCCTGGTTTAGTCCTGGTTTAGACCTGGTTTAGACCTGGTTTTAGTCCTGGTTTTAGTCCTGGTTTTAGTCCTGGTTTAGTCCTGGTTTAGTCCTGGTTTAGTCCTGGTTTAGACCTGGTTTAGTCCTGGTTTAGACCTGGTTTAGACCTGGTTTAGACCTGGTTTTAGTCCTGCTTTAGTCCTGCTTTAGTCCTGGTTTATTCCTGGTTTAGACCTGGTTTGAGACCTGGTTTAGTGTCTGGCAATGAGTGGAATTACCGTGAAAAATTTTTTTTTAAAAAAAGGGAATACCCCGAAATGTGAAAACAGGAAAATACCGCCATGTAATCCATTTATTTCAAACAGTAACTGTAACTGAATACAGTTACTCATAATGTGTACTCTGATTACGTAACTCCGGTACATGTAATCTGTTACTCCCCAGCACTGAAGGCACAGCATGTTCTCCATACTCTCAGAACATGTACATTTAACAAAGAAACAAAAAAAGAGAGCAGAATTGTTAAAAACATTCAATAGGATCATTCAGGATCAGCCCCAGTTTTACCACAGAGTGTAAAAAGAAGTTCAGCTCCAGTCAAATGAAGCTCAACAACGCTAGTGGATAGTTACAGAACAAAATCGAGAAATAATAACCCCAGGATCATGTAGAGCGGGTTAATACGAGCATTTTAAGATCAAAACGACAAGGCTCACAGTAGAAGGTACAGAGATTCCAATGTGAGTCAATGGGAGCCAGAGTGAGAAGGAGCCGGAAGAGCCTCCACGCTCCCTCCCTGTTTGGAGCTATCTACATATGTCCATGTTTATGTACAGTCTATGAGAGTAAAAACATGTTTAAGTGTCTGTGAATGATCCACCTGAGCTGATAAAAACAGGACAGGTGTAATATTACAGTGCACACCTGGACTTACATCAGAGACCAGAGACCAGAGAGCACAGCAAACACCACCTCAGCACTTTTACATTCACACAAGAAATGTTTACACTGACGGATCAGAGTCGTAATCTTCAGCTGCTCTTTATATTCTGTACCTTAAAGGGCCTGCAACTGTTTTTTTCCCCATGTGCTTATATAATCAGCTCTTGAGGTCAAAATAAATCCAGTGTGTGCTGTTGGCGTCTAATTATGCAGCTTTTTAAACATGTTTGATAGTCAGGAAGTGCGTGTTAGCATGCTAGCTGTTGACAGCAAAACTTCGAAAGCTTTTAAACTCATCGTGGTGAATAGTTAGGATGCTCTGAATGCATAAGGGAAAAGTTTGGACCACTGCAAACTGTCACATTATTCTGTTCTATTATCTGTTCTAATGTCGTTTCCTCATCACAAACCTGGAGACCTGGAGTTGTGTTTTGTTTCGTTTGAACATATATATAAGACCTGTTTGTCACATTTTTAAGACAGTAAAAATCAGGTAGGTTTTGATACTAAAAAAGTCCCACTGACAGAACAGAACAGAACCTTTCCTGAGTGTGTTTAGAACCATCTGGAACTGGATCAGAACAAATATAAGAGACTAATATACACCCATGGACCTGGTATAGATCTGGTTTAAACATGGTTTAAACATGGTTTAAACAGGGTTTCGTTTAGACCTTGTTTAGTCCTGGTTTAGACTTGGTATAAACCTGGTTTAGTCCCGGTTTAGTCCCGGTTTAGACCTGGTTTAGGCCTGGTTTAGACCTGGTTTAGTCCCGGTTTAGACCTGGTTTAGGCCTGGTTTAGACCTGGTTTAGGCCTGGTTTAGACCTGGTTTAGGCCTGGTTTAGACCTGGTTTAGTCCTGGTTTAGTCCTGGTTTAGGCCCGGTTTAGGCCTGGTTTAGACCTGGTTTAGTCCTGGTTTAGTCCTGGTTTAGACCTGGTTTAGGCCTGGTTTAGGCCTGGTTTAGTCCCGGTTTAGGCCTGGTTTAGTCCCGGTTTAGGCCCGGTTTAGTCCCGGTTTAGTCCCGGTTTAGGCCCGGTTTAGGCCCGGTTTAGGTCTGGTTTAGTCCTGGTTTAGTCCTGGTTTAGGCCCGGTTTAGTCCTGGTTTAGGCCTGGTTTAGGCCTGGTTTAGGCCAGGTTTAGGCCCGGTTTAGGCCAGGTTTAGGCCCGGTTTAGGCCCGGTTTAGGCCCGGTTTAGGCCCGGTTTAGGCCAGGTTTAGGCCCGGTTTAGGCCTGGTTTAGGCCCGGTTTAGTCCTGGTTTAGGTCCTGGTTTAGGCCTGGTTTAGGCCTGGTTTAGGCCTGGTTTAGTCCTGGTTTAAAATAAATCCAGTGTGTGCTGTTGGCTTCTAATTATGCAGCTTTTTAAAAATGTTTGATAGTCAGGAAGTGCACGTTAGCATGCTAGCTGTTGACAGTGAAACTCTGAAAGCTTTTAAACTCATCGTGGTAGTTAGGATGCTCTGAATGCAGAAGGGAAAAGTTTGGACCACTGCAAACTGTCACATTATTCTGTTCTATTATCTGTTCTAATGTCATTTCCTCATCACAAACCTGGAGACCTGGAGTTGTGTTTTGTTTCATTCACACATGTTTAACACACAAACCAGATTTAGAGTTCTTCTCTCAAACAGAAAACACTCTGTTCCACCTGGTGATGTCATATAATAATGCAGAAAATGCTCCACTGTACTTTTAAGCTCCATACACCATCACTAGAATCATTTAGATCAGGGGTCTCCAACCTTTTTCCTCTGGTGAACTACCTTTACAAATGAAAATGCCAGAGAGCTACTAATGTTAGCAGTCGCAAGAAATTGAGTGTATATGAGAGCCGCAACAAGTTTTAGATGAGGTACAGATGGATGCCTGTAAAACATAAACCTTTTTTCAATTATTAGTGCACAAAGTTAGGCATCAAAATTATACATTTACAATGATAACAGACATTTAATTCATCAATTTGAGTAGTGGAGAGCTACTGGTTGGAGAACCCTGATTTAGATTATTTCAGTCCTGGAATTGCCGATCTCTACTGAACAAAGAGGAGGTAAAAGGAGCCGTTGACTTGAAAATTAGTGCTTCATGACATCACAAGGTGGAGCAGAGCATTTTGAGCTTTGGAGATGTAGACAGACTAATAATAAAGAGTTACTCAAACATGTGAATGAAACAAAACACAACTCTAGGTCTGTTTTTGAGGAGGGAACAACATCATTTAAAGCTCACAAGAGTCAGTTTTATATAGGACCTTTTAAAATGCTCTAGTTCTGTTTGTCACGTTTTTAAGACAATAAAAATCAGGTACAACAACTTCAGTTTGATAAACATGAGGATAGTGCATTTCTCCATCAGTTTTAGTTTTTTATGCGTCCTCCTTTTAAACTTGTGTCTCTTGTATCTTTGTCGTGGTGTGGTCTTTAAACCGTCTCCCTCTGGCCTCGGTTCAGACGGCGTTGCTCTGAGTTTCATCATTTAAATCACACTGAATCATTGTGGAGATAGAAACAGATGTTTATTATTCAAGTGTTTTCATCAGAAATGTAAATCCAGAACAGAATCTAGTATCATGGTGCTCTCTCCTGCCTCTCTCCTCCCTCTCTTCTCTCTGCCCCCTCTCTCCTCCTCTTGTTCTCTTCTCTCTCCTCTCTCTATTCTCCTCTCTCCTCTCCCACCTCCCCTCTCTCTCCTCTCCCCCTCTCTCATTCTCCCCCACATTCCTGCTCTCTCCCCCTCGTTCTCTCCTCCCCCCTTCCCACCTCTTCCTCTTCTTTCCCACTTCTCCCCTCTAATCTCTTCTCTCTTTCCCCCTCTCTCTCTCTCCCTCGTCTCTTTCTCCCCCTTCTCCTCCTCTCTCCTCCAGGTTCAGGCCACAGTGGTGGGGTTTCTTGCTGCTGTAGCTGCTGTGGTCCTGGGTTGGATTCCCGAGGGGAAGTTCCAGATGAGCCACGCGGTTCTGCTCTGCTCCAGCAGCGTGGCCACGGCCTTCATCGCCTCTCTGCTGCAAGGTACACTACAAACTACTACAAACTACCACAAACTACTACAAACTACAACAACAATCTACAACAACAATCTATAACAGACAATAAAAACTACAACAAACTACAACAAACTACAACAAACCACTACAAACTACAACAAACTACAACAACAATCTACAACAGACAATAAAAACTACAACAAACCACTACAAACCACTACAAACTACCACAAACTACAACAAACTACTACAAACTACAACAACAATCTACAACAACAATCTACAACAGGCAATAATAAACTACAACAAACCACTACAAACTACAACAAACTACAACAACAATCTACAACAGACAATAACAAACTACAACAAACCACTACAAACCACTACAAACTACCACAAACTACAACAAACTACTACAAACTACAACAACAATCTACAACAACAATCTACAACAGGCAATAATAAACTACAACAAACCACTACAAACTACAACAAACTACAACAACAATCTACAACAGACAATAACAAACTACAACAAACCACTACAAACCACTGCAAACTACAACAAACTACAACAAATTATACTCTCGTACAACAAACTGCAACAAACAACAAAAAACTACAACAAACGACAAACTACAAACTTTATTTGATGTTCTTAATGGGTGATACTTGTAGGATTGGGCAGCATCATGTCATCATTTTGGCCTAAATGTAAAAAAAAAAGTTCTGCTCCAGTGTGATGTGCAGCTGTCCACAGGAGGAGCCCACAACATGCAACGTTTTGCTGTCATGATGTTTACGGCCGCGTCAGCTCCCACTGGACACCACAGTTTTCTAAAGAGGAATTTTGCCCAAATTCTAACAATAATCCTCATGTGTCAGATTATAACTATAGATACACACAAATTAACCGTGCGCAGCACGGTGGATTCTCACGATATGTGTGAGTTCACAAACTCACGAGAATCCATCTTAAGGTACTCCCGCTGTCCGGTTTAAAGCAGCAGTGGTCGGCCTAGTCACAGGGCTTCTATGGAAGGGGGTGGAGTTTCAGACAAGATGACGCCAACCCCAAACACCAGGCCTACACCATAAACTATATGTATGTAATTTATATACAGTTTATGGCCTACACAGAGCAAAACAAACATGGCGTTGGCAGACGGTGATGGGGGCTTATAATGCCCGTGCGTTTTATCATAAGATCTGTTTTGCAAAAACAGCCAGCTTGGTTCATGGTTTTTCTTTCACACTTTGAGTGAGAGCTGTTCAGATGGAGACTGTGTAGATCTCAGTTGAGAGAAATACACAGATGAATCTGAAGTGAGCCAGGTTACACACAAGCGCTGCATGTCTACTTTAAACAATGCCCCTCTCTAGTCCTTAAGTTCTTCTGTAGATTTAGAGTAAATAACAGGGTTTGTCACAGGCTCCTCCTCTCTGTGTGCAGGTATCATTATGGTCGGTGTGATTGTGGGCTCCAAAAAGACTGGGATCAACCCGGATAACGTGGCCACGCCCATCGCCGCCAGCTTCGGTGACCTCATCACTCTCGCCATCCTGGCCTGGATCAGCCAAGGCCTCTACAAGTGCCTCGGTGAGTGCAGGGTACCACACTGACACTGATACTGTGCAGTCACGTCATGATGGGGGTGTCCTACATGTGTGTGTGTGGCTGAATGTTCATTATTTACCATGGTGACACAATGCACACATTAGCAAACACTGTTAAAAAAAACAAAACAAATGGATTTAAAGAGCATGTTTTCCAGAGCCTGTGGTCACAAGGGAAAGGAAAGGCTCACACATCACAATAAAATATAATAACAAAGAGAAAAAATATATAAATGGTAATTATACATTCTAAATAAGCAGCAAAAAGAGACAGGTGTCAAATAAAACATAATTATATAAATGTAAATGTACAAGTCAAAATAAAATAATAAAATATAAAATCTCAGCTTTATGCAAGAGGTCACAGGAAGACAGTACAACAATTATATGATGATTGACAGGACACAAGGTTATCTGTTCCATAAGGGTGAGTTGTTGTACACTTGTAGGGAGTATTATCTGTTCCATAAGGGTGAGTTGTTGTACACTTGTAGGGAGTATTATCTGTTCCATAAGCGTGAGTTATACAGTTGTAGGGAGTATTATCTGTTCCATAAGGGTGAGTTATACATTTGTAGGGAGTATTAGTTATTACATAAGAGTGAGTTGTTGTACAGTTGTAGGGAGTATTACTATAGTTGTAGGGGTGAGTTGTTGTACAGTTGTAGGGAGTATTATTATAGTTGTAGGGGTGAGTTGTTGTACGGTTGTAGGGAGTATTATTATAGTTGTAGGGGTGAGTTGTTGTACAGTTGTAGGGAGTATTATTATTAGTGCCTGCTCCCTGCCAAACCAGCGGTGCGGTCAGGAAGGGGCGTTACCTTCAACAGCCTCGCTCCTGATTGGCTCTTTTCGTTGTTATGATACTCGCAGTCGGAATTCCAAATACTGAACTCTGCTCCAGTTTTTCCCTTCCATAGCTGCAGGCCTTGGTGAGCTTCATTTGACTGGAGCCGAACGCTGTGGGTGACGTCACGCTCGCTCAGTCCTCTTGTTTGTGTCCTCCACTCTCTGCCCTCACTAAAGTTCACAAACTCATTCAGTGAAGCAGGAGCAGAGCCAGCCTCAGCATTAATATTTCACAAACTCAGAATAAAGAGACTTCCAGGTACGGCTCTCAAAAATATTGAAAATCAGACAATAACAGATGCAAAAACTAGTACTGAAACTAGATCCTCATTTTCTGCAGGTTTTGATACTAAAAAAGTCCCACTGACAGAACAGAGCAGAATCTTTCCTGAATGTGTTTAGAACCATCTGGAACTGATCAGAACAAATATAAGAGACTAATATACACCCATGGACCTGGTCTAGACCTGGTCTAGACCTGGTTTAGGCTTGGTGTAGACCTACTTTAGACCTGGTTTCATTTAGACCTTGTTTAGTCCTGGTTTACACCTGGTTTAGTCTCGGTGAAGGCCTGGTTTAGTCCTGATTTAGTCCTGGTTTAGAAGTGGTTTAGTCCCGGTTTAGGCCTGCTTTAGACCTGGTTTAGTCCTGCTTTAGACCTGGTTTAGTCCTGGTTTAGACCTGGTTTAGACCTGGTTTAGTCCCGGTTTAGTCCTGGTTTAGACCTGGTTTAGACCTGGTTTAGATCTGGGTTAGACCTGGTTTAGTCCCGGTTTAGTCCTGGTTTAGACCTGGTTTAGACCTGGTTTAGATCTGGGTTAGACCTGGTTTAGACCTGGTTTAGATCTGGGTTAGACCTGGTTTAGACCTGGTTTAGACCTGGTTTAGTCCCGGTTTAGGCCTGGTTTAGTCCTGGTTTAGTCCTGGTTTAGTCCTGGTTTAGACCTGGTTTAGACCTGGTTTAGACCTAGTTTAGTCCCGGTTTAGGCCTGGTTTAGACCTGGTTTAGACCTGGTTTAGACCTGGTTTAGATCTGGGTTAGACCTGGTTTAGACCTGGTTTAGACCTGGTTTAGACCTGGGTTAGACCTGGTTTAGACCTGGTTTAGTCCTGATTTAGGCCTGGTTTAGACCTGGTTTAGACCTGGTTTAGACCTGGGTTAGACGTGGTTTAGACGTGGTTTAGACGTGGTTTAGACGTGGTTTAGTCCCGGTTTAGGCCTGGGTTAGACCTGGTTTAGGAATAGAAAAGAAAATACCACCATTTAATGTGAAAAAGTAAAGTACAGTATATGGTCTAAAAAAAGAGGGTTTTTAATTAAATTATAATTATGGTATTGGAATCAGTATTGAGTATCGTGTCTATTCCTCAATACTGAAATTGAGTTTGAGATTTTAGTATTGTGACAAAACTACTGTGAGAAGAGCTTTACAAATGAATAAAAATTCCAATATTCAAAGTAGCAGTTGCATCATTTGGCCAGCAGAGGTCTCTCTTCACATGTTTATGTCAGACCAGTGCTGCACAGATTGAGCTCACCTCCTTTTACAGCTGCTTTTACCTTTAGGTCAGTAGAGATTACAAGGCTGAAATGATCCAAATGATTCATGTGCAGGTGTGTGGAGTTTAAAAACACAATAGAGCACTTCCTTTATTACCACGTGACATCACAAGGTGGAACTGTGTATTTAAAGGGCCCATATCACACTATTTTCTGATCTGTGTTCTAATGTTTCCTCATGACAAACACACCTGGAATTGTGTTTTGTTTCACTCACATGTTTAACACACAAACCCTGCACATTTATAGAGCTCTCAAACAGAAAACACTCTGTTCCACTTTGTGATGTCATGTGGTAATAAATGAAGTGCTCCACTGTGTTTTTAAACTCCACACACCTTCACTAGAATCATTTGGATCAGTTCAGCCCTGGAATCTCTACTGAACTAAAGGTGAAAAGAGCTGTTGGTTTTAAGCCCTTTAAAACTACCACTTCATGACATCACAAGGTGGAACAGAGCATTTTGAGCTTTGAAGATGTAGACAGACTATTAATAAAGAGTTACTCAAACATGTGAATGAAACAAAACACAACTCCAGGTGTGTTTTTGAGGAAAGAACAACATTAGAACATGACTTAAAGCTCAGAAGAGTCCGTTTTGTCACTTTTGTGTGATATAGGACCTTTAAGAGCTCACAATTAGCAACAGGCTTCCATATAATGCCTCTATGAGAACTAGCTGCTCTCCGTGTGTCTCCATGGGGGTTTATTCTGTTTAAAAGCTGCTAACCCTGTAGTTTCGACCTCTACAAACGTGTTCTGAAATGCCTGGGATTCATGTATTATTTAAACTTCATATTCCAGTCTCTCTCAGGTGTAAATGGGAGTGTTTACGATGCACACTCTGAATAGAATCCTACTTTTCTAAACACATCACAAAATGAAAGGGGCCTATACCTGATTTTTGCCCATGTATTTGAGCAAACATGTCCTGCCCCAGTACTGATATGTTGTATAAGCAGCTCTTGAGGTCAAAATAAGTCCTCTGTGTTCTGTCTGCATTTAATTAGAAACAGATAAAGAGATAAAGAGTGTGAGGTTATTTGTAAAGATAATCAGTCGTTACTCTGCTCTGGTCTGTGGGAGTTGTGAAAAGTGCTTCTAAACTCATCGTGGTGGATAGTTAGGACTTTCTGAATGCAGAAGGGAAGTGAGGAAAGACTTTGGACCACTACAAACTGTTAATAAGGGTTTTATATTATGCAAAAGTGACTCTTGTGAGCTTTAAGCCATCATCGAATGCTGTTCCCTCCTCAAAAACAGACCTGCAGTTGGGTTTTGTTTCATTAATGGTTCAGTGATGTTTTGCAGTTTTCAAATGCTCAAAAAATGTAAATACAAAATGTGTAGATTTTGTGATATTGTATGTGTGTATTTTATAATTTAGTATATGCTCCTAGAAAAGAACATTTTTCTGCATTTAAAGCCTGGGACGTCTTAAAAATAAAAGTCAGTGCAACGAACATATTGTTAAAATTTATTTACATTTAAAATAACTTATATATGGAAAAGGATGAAAAACACAAACTGAGATCTACAAATAAACAGTTGGCCATTAAATTTTTTCTTAAAGTTTTAAAAAATTTCACAATTTGCCCTAAGATGGCATTTGCGCTTAACTCAGTTTTAATACTTCAAAATAAAACACTTCAAAATCGGATAAAACCTCAGCCTGTTACCACTTTCCCTTTTTAAATTTAAGTTCTTATGTAAAAATCTATTTTTTTATGTCAAAACAAACTTTCTGATACATTTCACTGTAATAGGGTGACCATATTTATATTTCTGTTTGTGAAAACCCGGACATCTTACCGGGGGTGGGGGGTGGGGCCTTGACATTGAGCTACTCTCACCTCACAACCTGTGCACATGGACTCACACTTGTCTCGACTGGGATGGAAAACAGAGAATTTCTTGTACGAGTCATTGTTAAATGTGCATTTGTGCTTCGGCATGTTACAGGTTTGTTCGCTCCTTCAGAGTTACAGAGAGCTACAAGAGACGCACAGTTTAATGGCCCCAATGAACAGTAATGAAAACCTAGACATTTGCATCACTTAAAAAAAACAAAAAAAAAAACCCAGACGCCAGGACAGGACGCAAAAAAACGACATGTCCGGGGGAAAAAACGGACATTTGGTCACCCGACACTGTAATATCAGTAAATATTTCACTGCATGACATTTGCCATTTGGTTCAACTGAAATACAAAAAAAATCCTTTCTTTTGAAACTTTAAGAAAACTCAACCAAATCACATTAACAACATCTATCTAACTACCTTTAATATATTTATTGTTCAATCGCATTTTGAATAATTACTAATTAATCAACCAAACCCAATTTCCTTTATTTGTGTGATTATTGTACATTTAAAATAAAAAAGATGACTTTAATATAGTAGCAAATATAGTTTTATGTGTATAGTAAATAATATAAATATGAATTGTGTAAGAAATGCAGATATTTTGGAGTTTCCTACAACAGTCACGTCTGTATGTTTGACTGTCTACATGTCCAACGCTCCAAACGCTCTGCTCCACTTTTAGTTCAGTAGAGATCGACAATTCAAT